ACGACAGGGAATTAGTTTGTGTGAAAAGTCGAACTGATGACGAACATATTTAAGGTTAATTCATTCGCCAAATTATACCCAGAGATCGAGCCGGTACACCCAGTGGTCACTACACTAAATTACTCTAAACCAGTGATCACTACACTCACCACCTACACCTTGGGATCACTACACTCACCACCTACACCTTGGGATCACTACACTCACCACCTACACCTTTGGATCACTACACTCACCACCTACACCTTGGTTGCAGTAAAGAGTTTAGGTGTTGCCATCCTGGCCATTACTGAAATTCATCTTTTTTTTTTTAATATTTCCTTAACTACAAGGGCTACAATCAAATAAATGGCGTCTATACCCGTGTTTTCAAGGTCTGTGAATCAAATGAAATGGGCGATGAGTATGTACGTCTCTACCAAACTCACCAAAGATGTTGGTGACATGACCGGAGGGTAAAAACAAGTAAATGTCACAACCCACAAAGAAGAAACACCATCACGAGTACACGCCGACGACCAGGACCGGGTGAATATTCGAGAGAAGTTGCAGTGAAGTGTAAACCCCTGGACAAAGACGACCATCCACAAGGCGTCCTGAACATCGTCACTGGAAGGGTTACTCCATTTTCACTTGTACATCCATAGCACTTGGCCATGAACTTAGCAGCTTCGTCGATTACCTCTGGCATAGCGGTATCCAGTTCCCCTAGCTTCTTTTGAGTCTGCTTGGCTTGAAAGGTTCTCAAGAACAGTGGCTTTGCCAACGCCAAACAGCAAGGCAACATTGTCTCACCCAGATAGGCCATGCATTGCCAGAAGCTGTGGGGCAATCTTGGTGTGTGTCGTTGCTGTTGCTGCTACATCAATCATGGCTCTGTCTGGACGAGTGGCTCCCATGGTCAATTGGCAGCTGAGGCCAAGTTTGTGGAGGAGGAGCACGAAGACGTCTGTATCATCACATAATACATTTATGCTTGTGGCCCCATTTTCTGCAAGGTTCGCCATTTGTTGTACGATGATAACGTCTGCCTCTTCGTGGTAAGTTGTTAAATCACTCCTCCGCCGAAGGACAACACCACTGACTTGTACGGGTATTGGATATGTACCGGTTATGATTAGCTTGGTCTTGTTCTAAAGTCCTCTTCTGATCAATTCTTCACAGACTATGTTGATGAGCTGGACTTTATTACCAGCTACCGTCAGGACTGTTTTCTGCGGTGGCAGAGAACTCTGTGGATTGAGGCGATGGTGCTGAATGACATGTTGACCAGCTCGTGTCGATCTTGTCGAAATCTTAATGCTGTAGTTCATGTAGCGGTCTAAGATGACGAATACATCATTGTCCACGTAGTCCTGGGTAGTTCCCTTGTAGGGCCAGTGCACACACCACAGAATGGCACATCCATCAATGATGAGGATTTGTGTATCCGGTGATAGACGGACGGAAACCAACTCTTGGAATTTCTTCTTGAGTGTCGACTTTGAAGTGGCAATGAGCATACCTCGGGACTCTGTGAACATGGGTGTTGGAAGAGGAGCTAGCTCGTACTTAAGGACAGTTGTTAGTTCTACGTCCCTCGCTTGGTGTAGACCCAACAATCTGTAGTAGATGAGATTAATGTCATACACATCTTTGCCTGATACTCTCATGGACTTCTTCTTGATTTTCATTGTGATGAATTTCTTCGAAACTGGACCATGGACCCCTGATGGCAAGGAGTTATCAAAAGACATCATCTGTGCTTTGCCTCAGTCAACAGCTTGGTGAACATTCACAGATTCAGGACGAACCTTTCCAGTGACGATGATCATGACACCACAAAGAGTGTTCATTCTTTCCTTATAGACTACATTGTACATTATGTTATTACAGGTTTCCGTAGTGTAGTGGTTATCACGTGCGCCTCACACGCGCAAGGTCCCCGGTTCGATCCCGGGCGGAAACACGCGTCTCCATTTTATAAAAAGTTAAAAATCATCACATAATGTAATTAAATCTTATAACATAATAATTCCTCTGTGTAACGAGATCTGTTTTATAATGTGAAAATTCTCATGTGATTGTTTTTGTACAGACTGTGTTTGTTTAATATTTTAACACGAACTATCATAATTATTAGTTCACCATACAAGTCATCTACTTAAAGTCATAAGTCACTTACACACACACAAGCTCACACTTACCTCGCCGTCCCTCACACTAACATACAATCTATATATATATAAAACAAAGAAGTCTGACTGTGTGTCTGTTTGTCAGCACAAGAATCTCGTTATTTACTTTACCGATCTGGACCAAACTTGGCATGGATAGCAAGTGTCATGTGGGGATCTAAAAAAAAACTCCAGCCAACCCGATCCAACACGCCCCAGAGAACGAGACTAACGATTAGCCCGGACACACACACACACGTAGAAAAGTCTTATTCCCTCCTATGATTTACACAGAGGTTTAAAAGTCATATCCCATCCCACGTATTATAACTAATTTTATCCTTATGCTCTCTCTCATTACAGCTTACTTTTCTTTGATCTCAAACTTTTCTAGGCTGTCCATTCTAACAAGGTAGGTAGGTAGGTTGGTAGTCCTAGCGAAAGAGCTGCCCGGAGGACGGCGTTTCTGCTAGTGAATAATAAGAATGAATCCTCCCTTTAGCAGACTTTGAATTTAGTCACTACAACACCATCCATCATCACTACATATATCACCATCCCTCATCACTATAGTAATAAACAGAGCTTCATTTTTTCTACCATATTTATAAATTCCAACCTTCATTATACAGTAATTATGTCTGAATGGTCAAATTTTGAATTGGCCTCAGTGAGAGAGCTGTTAGGGTCAGTACATCACAATGGTGTTCCGACGCACTGTAACCAAGGTGTCAAAGGTGGAGGTGAAGGGCTGCCAGGCCCAGGTGAAGGAGAAGGGGCCCCGATCTCACAAACTACAGACCACAAAACACAAGACTCAAAATAACAAGAAGAAAGTAACCACCACTTTCTGCCATGTACAGAAGGACCAGTACCTCCCCTGGGGAGAAGTCAACCAGCAAGAAGCGCTGAACAGTCACCATCCCTTCTCAAAAATAATAAAAATATTAATTCATTTCGTTTGTATTATTTATGCTTATATTATTTTCATCTGTACACCATTACCTTTAACCAATATCTATTTATTTATTTATTTTTACAGGGGTTAGCCCACCCTGGCACGGGTCACTGACACATATCGGGGCCTGGGGGGCGAAAATGTAATTATAATAACAATATTAATAATAATTAATTCATAGTAAATGAAATTTATAATAAAAAAAAAAATTTAAAATAAAATTCCAATAGTAACAACATTAATAATAATAATAATAATAATAATAATAATAATAATAATAATAATAATAATAATAATAATAATAATAATAATAATAAACCTTAAAAAAATAGAAAAAAATCAAGAACAGCAGGTCAGGTTCACAGCAGGTTAATATCATAGCACCTCAAGGACAAAGCAGGTTAGTCACTGTAGGTCAATATCACACCAGTTCAAGGTCATAATGGAAGGTCAAAGTCACAACAAAAGGTCATAACGTAAGATCAGAGTCACCAGAGATTATTTAAGTATTATTATTGTTATTGTTGTTGTAACTGTTAATATCGAATATAGGTAGGTAGGTAGTCCTAGCGAAAGAGCCGCCCGGGGGGCTTCGTTTCTGCTAGTTTACATATAAAATCTTTGGTGTTAATATTTCACCAAAGAAAGACACACATAAATAATAATACGAACACACAAATTTACCACAACAACAGGGACCAGTCACCACCACCTGCCCAACAAACACAACGTCAATAAAGCAAAGCAACACCAGTCAAAACATGTCTCCCTCTCCATTAAGACTCAAAATCTATCCATTATGTGCTGGAGGTCTGGACAATTTGTGGCAGTAGATCACGTTTGGATAACCAAGGAAAAGGTAGATCCAGCCCTAGGAAAGTTTGGCCTCCGCTGTACAGAAATTAACTATACAGATGAGAGGAAAACAAACATCATAATAATAACTGTTAATTATATATAACTAAATAAACCCTGAAACTAAATACGTACTATTGAAGAGTTGATTCTGCAATTTGTAAAAGAAAACATAAATCAAAAGAAAAAGTTTGTATTTTTGTGAGAATTGTGGGTGTATAAATCTTACACAAATGCCTACACGAATGACTTCCTCTGCGGTTACCAAGCTGCCGACACCAACACACTAAAGTAGTCAGGAGGAAAAGTTGCTCTTGAAACACACATACACTGTTATGTTTTAGTGATTATACATATACTATTGTTTTTTTTTTTTTAAGTAATGAATTACAGAATATGAAGAATCTTCTCCACCGTAGTTTATTACACCTTAAGAATTTAACCACTTTAACGCTATTTAGGTTAGGTTAGGTTAGATCCTACATCACAACTCTTTCTGCAATTATTATTATTGTATTTAATTAACGTAACTCATCAACATCAGAGTTCCCACGTGTGTCCGGGCCAAGCACGGTACTCGAACCCGTGTCAAATACATAAAGAGTGACCATGGACACCAGATGACATGAGACAGACAGTTAGACACCTCAGAGCAACACAACAATATTAAATAACCTGTGTACCTGTAATTACCTGCCGGAGAAGTTTACTGAATGACTGTGTGTGTGTGTGTGTGTGTGTGTGTGTGTATATGTGTGTGTGTCACCTGTTTTCTCAAATAATCATAAGAAATTATGAGATGTCTTCCACGTACGATAAAATTCTCTCTCTCTCCCTCTCTCGCTCTCCTATTTAACCTATTTATCTATCTGTTTATTAATTTTTCTCTTATAGTTACAAGTTTCTCTCGGTGTTTTGTAACTAATTCTCTCACTCCTCCTCCTCCTTCTCCTCCTTCATCCTTCTTAAAGTAGATTGGGTGGTTGCCGCCGGTGGAGATTGGAGAGGCTTAGGTGACCTGTGCCTGGGATTCAAGTCCATATTTCTAGGATCTGTGCCAAAACCTCCATAGTGTTTCGAAGGTTAGGGACGGGGTTGATGGCGTGGCTCACCCATCGCTGTGCGTCACGGCTGAGATGGTGAACACCGACAAGAGTCTGTAGAAGGCGACCCATGCTGTATACATCAGCCTGAGAGGTCACTGGACTGTTCTTGACCACCTCAGGGGCCATGTAGAATGGCGACTTTGTTCCGGGAGAGAATCGGTTAAATTTTCCTATTTGTGCAGACAGACCAAGGTCAATGAGCGTAGCACGAATCCCACTGGTGGTATTTTGGATGCAGATGTTTTCACACTTGACATCGGTGTGCACCCATCCCCGCTCCTTTACCGCCAGCAGGGTTCGGGTGACCTGTTTTACGATCTGCAGGCGCTGGCCTATGGTGCAGGTGTGGGTCTGGAGGTACTTGTCCAGGCTCTCCCCGGCATATTCGGTGAGGAGGGTGAGCTTCGAGGGACACACTCCGATTATCTTCTGAAGACCGGGTACATTCTGCAGGACTGAAAGGGCCTGGATTTCCTTCTGCAGAGTTAAAACAATAGATGGTGTAGCTGGAATGGCCTTGATGACCCACTGGCTATTGGACACTGTAACCAAGTGACAAGACCCGTAGGACCCGTGACCCAAAGGCTTCATGCAGGTACGATCAGCCACGAACTCAAAGGCCCCATCCCCAAACACGTTTACAAAATGGCATTCGCAGAATTCGCACAGTGCACGCACCGATTGTTTTACGTAACTGCTGGTGTCCATCCTGAGGTATATTTACCCTCAGGTTTAGGTTGCTCAAGGACCTAGTAATCAAAATTCGAGGAGTAAATGAAAAATTCAAATCGAAAACTGGTTAAATCCAGTTCTCATCCCAAGATTTCCTGTTTATAGTCGAGAGGGAAGCTGTTGTGGTGAAGATGCAATAGTGTAGTAATGATACTTCGTTGTAGTATAGTTCTATAGTGGCGTTATAGTGGAGTTCTGGTGTTGTGATGATAGTGTTTTAGTGGTTATAGAGTTGTAGTATACTGTTGTAGTGGAGTTTTGGTGTTGTGATGTAGTATAGTGTTATAGTGAAGTTATGGTGTTGTAGCGATCTTCCAGTGTTGTATTGTTGTAGTACAGTGTTGTAGTGATGTAATAGTGTTGTAGTAGTGTTGTAGTGATGTTACAGTGTTGTAGTACAGTGTTGTAGTGATGTTGTAGTGTTGTAGTAGTGTTGTAGTGATGTTACAGTGTTGTAGTACAGTGTTGTAGTGATGTTACAGTGTTGTAGTACAGTGTTGTAGTGATGTAATAGTGTTGTAGTACAGTGTTGTAGTGATGTTACAGTGTTGTAGTACAGTGTTGTAGTGATGTTGTAGTGATGTAATAGTGTTGTGTACAGTGTTGTAGTGATAGTGTTGTAGTACAGTGTTGTAGTGATGTTGTAGTGTTGTAGTACAGTGTTGTAGTGATGTTGTAGTGTTGTAGTACAGTGTTGTAGTGATGTTATAGTGTTGTAGTACAGTGTTGTAGTGATGTTATAGTGTTGTAGTACAGTGTTGTAGTGATGTTGTAGTGTTGTAGTACAGTGTTGTAGTGATGTTATAGTGTTGTAGTACAGTGTTGTAGTGATGTTATAGTGTTGTAGTATAGTGTTATAGTGATGTTATAGTGTTGTAGTAGTGTTGTAGTGTTGTAGTATAGTGTTGTAGTGATGTAATAATGTTGTAGTACAGTGTTGTAGTGATGTAATAGTGTTGTAGTACAGTGTTGTAGTGATGTTATAGTGTTGTAGTGATGTTGTAGTGTTGTAGTACAGTGTTGTAGTGATGTTATAGTGTTGTAGTACAGTGTTGTAGTGTGAGTGTTGTAGTACAGTGTTGTAGTGATGTTGTAGTGTTGTAGTACAGTTGTAGTGATGTAATAGTGTTGTAGTACAGTGTTGTAGTGATGTTATAGTGTTGTAGTCCAGTGTTGTAGTGATGTTATAGTGTTGTAGTGATGTAATAGTGTTAGAAGTACAGTGTTGTAGTGATGTTATAGTGTTGTAGTCCAGTGTTGTAGTGATGTTGTAGTGTTGTAGTCCAGTGTTGTAGTGATGTAATAGTGTTGTAGTACAGTGTTGTAGTGATGTTGTAGTGTTGTAGTCCAGTGTTGTAGTGATGTTATAGTCTTGTAGTACAGTGTTGTAGTGATGTAATAGTGTTGTAGTACAGTGTTGTAGTGATGTTGTAGTCCAGTGTTGTAGTGATGTTATAGTGTTGTAGTACAGTGTTGTAGTGATGTTGTAGTGTTGTAGTCCAGTGTTGTAGTGATGTTATAGTCTTGTAGTACAGTGTTGTAGTGATGTAATAGTGTTGTAGTACAGTGTTGTAGTGATGTTGTAGTCCAGTGTTGTAGTGATGTTATAGTGTTGTAGTACAGTGTTGTAGTGATGTTGTAGTGTTGTAGTCCAGTGTTGTAGTGATGTTATAGTCTTGTAGTACAGTGTTGTAGTGATGTAATAGTGTTGTAGTACAGTGTTGTAGATAAAATTGTTAACTATGATGATGATAGTTATTACTATTATTATTATTATTGGCTAGCAGGTTATTATTATTATATTATTATTACATATTATTATACATATTATTATTGCTATTATTTTCATATTGTTATTATTTTTTATTAGTTATTATTATTGTTATTATTATTATAGTAGCTATTATTATTATTATAATTTTATTATTATTATTATTATTATTATTATTATTATTATTATTATTATAATTTTATTATTATTATTAGTATTATTATTATTATTATTATTATTATTAGCAGGGTTATTACTATTATTATTATTATTATTATTATTATTATTATTATTATTATTATTGCTATTATTATTATTTTTATTATTATTATTATTTTTTTTATTAGTTATTATTATTGTTATTATTATTATTATTAGTTATTATTATTATTATTATTATTATAATTTTTATTATTATTATTATTATTATTATTATTATTATTATTATTATTATTATAATTTTTATTATTATTATTATTATTATTATTATAATTATTATTATTATTATTTGCAGCGTTATTATTATTATTATTATTGTTAATATTATTATTATTATTATTATTAGTTTTATTATTATTATTATTGTTATTATTATTATTATTATTATTATTATTATTATTATTATTATTATTATTATTATTATTATTATTAGTATTATTATTATTATTATTATTATTATTATTATTAATATTATTATTATTATTATTATTATTATTATTATTATTATTATTATTAATATTATTATTATTAATATTGTTTCTATATTATAATTATCATCAATATACACAGTACTTTTTTTTTTACGTGGGGTCGTTTATATAGGGCGAGAATATTGGGAGGGGTCCACTGTTATCTGCTGGCCTCTCCTCGCCCCTCACCTGTCACTCAGGCGGTCACCAGGCGTGTAACTCACCACCACTCCTCTCTGGACACTCTCTCATCCTCCTTCTTCTTGACACTCTCTTCCCCCTCCCCCATCTTCCTCCCGACACACTCTCTTCCTCTGCCTCCTCCTCCCCCATCTTCCTCCCGACACACTCTTTTCTTCCCTCCTCCTCCCCCATCTTCCTCCCGACACACTCTTTTCTTCCCTCCTCCTCCTCCCTCTTCCTGCTCCTCTTACTCCCTGTTATATTATTTAGTTATATTTGTTTGTGTGTGTTCCAGGCAGTAAGGTTAGGTTAGGTTAGGTACCCTCAAGAGATTCAGATTCATGAACCTGAAGCATTTATGGACAGAATAATGTATCAGTCTACTGCTTCGGGTTCACAACTCTCGAGGGTTCATGGTTCGGTTGTTTGATAAATAAACCAGAACGCGAAATTTTGCTATAGGTTAGGTAAGGTTAGGTTAGGTTACGTTACGTTACGTTTCTTTGGGTTGAGTTTGATTAGGTTTGGTTAAATTAGGTTTGGTTAGGTTAGGTTGTATCTATTGGGTAAAACACAAGAAGCAAAATTTAGTTTTCTGGTTCTTTTGAAAACATCCACAACGCGTTGTGTTCGTTTTCGTTCTTTGAGCCCAACATATATACTGTAAATCCAAAATTATAGTAACACATTCTTTATACCACTAATACCATTATGTCATATATCGTCACGTAGATAGAAAAAGATTACCATTTCAATAATTATATATATTGCCGTTAAGACATGATCCTCACTGTTTCTGTCACCTTGTTTCACCTTAATACAACTCATGTTGTATTGCTTCCCTCACTTGTCAGACTAATGTGTATCAACTCCACTATAAAATATGTATATACTTAGAATATTAATTAAAACATAAAATAAAAATAAAATTAAATAAAATAAATAACGAAGTGATAATCGTGGTAACATTGGCATATGTTCTTACTACAACCATGTTAAGTGGACTGCTCCAGATGATGTTAATGTTCTATGATAAATGAGGTATACTGAAGGATAGCTTCAGGCGTAGGTTGGGTGGACATATGAGCAATAGGGGCTGGGTGTAAATGGGACTGCCCAGTATGGACCAATAGGCCCGCTGCAGTTTCCTCCATTCTTATGTTCTTATGTACTAAGAGAGCTCTGTATCTGCATTTTTCTGACTAAATAAACAGTTTTATTATCAATAATATCAATCCAGGTCTGCCTCTAGGTGAGTCAGTCAGTCAAGCTCGTCATTCATTGAGCTGACTCAGGCAGCTAGTACGTCAAATTCTTGGTGTTTCTTTAGCGGTAATAATGGCGATGGTCATCATGACACAGGTGAAAGTGCAGTAGAGTGACACCAACAGGTAACACCTTAAAAGCTTCCACACACTCACACATTAACGTGGATATTAAGAAAAACATTATTTAAGTCTTCTCTCATTGTTACTAGTAGCAGAGTGGCGCAGTGGAAGCGTGCTGGGCCCATAACCCAGAGGTCCGTGGATCGAAACCACGCTCTGCTATATTCGAATAATTTTGTGTCGGTGTCTGTGGGAAGGAGTGACGTGGTTAACTGGCAAGGCGGTGTAACACTGGATCAGAAAGCTGGAGACTGAACCAGGGACACAGCTCACCACCTACACCTTGGGATCACTACACCTACACCTCGGGATCACTACACTCACCACCTACACCCAGTAATTATGACACTTGCTATATTACACCAAATGGTCGATGCCTTTACCAGCCTACACTCAGAGGTCAATATACACCTGCCTACACTTAAATGTTTATACCCAACCATCGCTACACTTATCTACACCTACCCGTGTTACACCTCCGCCTTAATACCAAACCTAGTTCTCACAGTAACCAATATTGGGATCACCAGAAGTGGTACCTCAGAATATTTCACCTGGTGATTAAACACCTGGACGCTAATTTAACACAATTTACACTAAAATTATGGACTATTTTCTATTCTTAATATCAAATGAAATTTCAGAAGCATCTTGGTTATATTACAATAGCAGAGTGGCGCAGTGGAAGCGTGCTGGGCCCATAACCCAGAGGTCCGTGGATCGAAACCACACTCTGCTATCATCATTTTTTCCCAGTCCTGATCATAGAAACGGATTTTTTTTTAATAAAATATTCTATAACAAGTACACCTCCTGTGATGAAACCGGGCAGGTGTGGTGGGGAAAAACAGGTCAAAGGCCAAAGCTGCAGGAGGTTATCCTGGCCTGACTTGGGTATGTGCCCCGAGGTACAGTTGTGGACAAAAAAAATCGTCTGAGAGGGAG